ATGGTCCCCCAACGTGCGATGTCTGAGCTACCCAGTAACCACTCGTATCCCAACGTAGCCCACAGTTCCTCTTCCACGCCGTACCGATCGCAGCATCACGGCCGAGAACAAGCCCAAGGTCAGAGCTCGTCCATCAACCCACACGAAGAACCGAAGTGGTGTTCACTCGAGGTGCTTTTGCTACACCACAACCGCCTCACTTCTCTGCCCAGCTGCCTCTTCACTTGGCTTAGCAGGTAAATTATGTTCGGTGTTCAGCCAGCGTATGTTTTCTAGTTAGAAGTCTTTTTTTTCATTAAATGCACCACTCAAACCTACTATATCATTCCAGATTACGAGTTCTGAACGTAAGTACCAACCAGCTGTCAGCGCTGCCTTCCCCTGAAGGACGACGAGGACGCGGGTCGCCAGATGCTCGAGACGAGACAGGCCCTCAGACCAGCTTCCCGCTCCAGGAAGTATATGCAGCAGCTAATAGACTTCGGGATCTCACTCCTCTCCAGCACTGTAGAGCTCTACGCATCCTCCACGCGCCTTACAATAGGATAGCCAGTTTACAGGATAGGTCGGTGTCATTGCCAGGGCTAGTCTGAGCCCATATTCGTTCATCTTATTTTTGAAACAGAAATGACAGCCATGACAAAAGACATATTTTACATAGAATTAAGTTATTCTTCAGATCGAGGATAAAAAGTGTTCATTGATACCGGCAGTTTTGCCTTAAGCGATAGTTCCTGAAAATATCACCCGTTTTGTATTTATGCACTTGTAGTTCATCCCTCGGGTAATTATTAAAAGAGTTCAAGTTCAAACGATTAAATCAATGTGCATGGTTTTCAGCAGGCATCAGTTTGTGCGAAAAAAATGATATAATAACCAGTGAAATTAATCAATCTACGGTTGTGATACCGACAGGTTGATATGGTCTTGGGAGTTACTGGAGGAGCTGGTACTGTCAGGGAACGTCTTGATGAATGTGCCAGCTGGAGTGTCCCGTCTGCGTCGCCTCCGAGTCTTAAAGGTTCATTCTAACCCACTGCGTTGCCTTCCCCGTCTGGCCCACCTCTCTGCTCTAAAGGTTAGTTTATTTCAGTATCGCAAGTTTTATTTACCTTTTCTGCGTCTTCATACATCTCAAGACTCGCAGCTTATGTAAGCTTTTTTATCCTTTCTTATTACATGATATTTTACACGACGCAGGTAGTGGACGCGTCTCACTGCCAGTTGGGCCGCGTCGAACTTGAGGAGTTGGTCTCGCCGGGGCTGGTGGCACTCGACATCTCGGCCAACACAGCGCTTTCCCTCGACCACCATCAGTTTACAAAGTGCAAGTAGGTTTGAGTCACCAATATTGCATATGTATGGATGCATATATACTTGTGTGTGTGTGTGTGTGTGTGTGTGTGTGTGTGTGTGTGTGTGTGTGTGTGTGTGTGTGTGTGTGTGTGTGTGTGTGTGTGTGTGTGTGCAGGCACGTGCGTGCGTGCGTCTGTGCGCGTGTGCGCATTGTAAAAACATAGAAATAAAACCACATAACTGTTTAATACCTATCTTATAAGCCACTAAAACCAAAATCACTAAACAGGTCTCGACGGCCAGTAAACGTAGTCGATGTCACCAGTCGTTCCGGGCGGTCCTTGCCCCTGACCAAGCCTCACGCGTCTCAGCTCGCGTCATCCCAAGACCCAAGCTTCAGAGGAAAGAACGACGCTTTCCCAAAGTTACCCTGGACGTTAGGCTTTGCTGAAACCATTGGCAGAGACTCAAAGTAAGTAAAACTATATCATAATGTTGTTGTGTCTGAAAAGGTGTATGGGTACAGACATACTTCCGAAATTACGTGTATTCGATGCGATTTATTTACATTTATTTCAGGTTGACTGTAGGCCAGCTAAGGGTGCCAGATATAGCGGGCGAAGGACGTGTCGGCGTCGCGGCCTTAGCAGACGGAGGCCAAGAAGTGGGATGCGTTGGAAGCCTCCTGACAGCACTTCCCGCGTTACTTCAGGAGGAAAGAGCTTGTTCTCGCTCGCACACATATGCTCTGAAATATGCGCTTCTTACCGCCCTGAGGTATATTTCATTGCCTGTTCAAGTTCCGTCACTGAACTGAATGTTCGTTCTTAATATTCTCCATGTAGTATTTTTGTAAATGTCATTGTTGGTGTATGAAATTATATTAATAAATGTTTGATTACAGACGACTGCGGTCCCAAGGAGCCCCTTTACCTAGCGCAGTGTGTGCCGCCCACTTAGAACTCGAGGGCGTCGAGTCCACCCGGTGCCCTGTCCTGCGCCTCTGCTGTTACGGTGCCGTGTCTGCCGCTGTGACGACGACGCACGGAGAACCTATTTTCGTCACAACGTCATCTCCTCGAACACAACAGGTGGGCTCTCTTAGACGCGACCAATATTTATCATGTACTTGGTAACATTGATCAAGATAGCCTAGCAATTTGGCTAAGCCTTCATTATTTCGACATTTACATTCCCTCAGAATTGTGTCAGAAGCTGTGATGACGGCGTGAAGTGTGCGTTAGGTGAGCCTGTCACTTTGCCCGACCCACACACGACAGAGTTGTACCTGGGGCCCCACCATACCGCTGTTGTGATTGGTAGTGCGAGGTGAGGACGCTGGCTCTCAAGTCTGTAGAAGGTCAAAGCGAAAGACAAGATTAGCTGAAATATGCAACCGAAAATATGTATCTGATATATCAATTAAACCTAGGCCAGTCACTGATTTTGAAGTCGTTTGTATATAATTCATTAAATACAACACAGTGTCATGACATTTTTTTTACAAAATGTCAGGGATTGTTTTGATGGTTCTAGTCATCCAATAACCGTAGATATGGTAAGATAATCGACATAGTTAAAGTAATGTTCTAAAAAAACTCAATTTTCTCTTGTTCCAGTTTTTGGGAAGTTATTGGGACAGATGAAGTGGCGAATGTATGTGGTGAAATGAACGATCCAGGCAAAGCAGCAAAGCGACTGTTGGATCTGGCACAAGGTTATGGCACTCGCCAGGCCCTTAGTGTCATTGTCGTGCGCCTTCTGCCAGCGCACCACAAATGGCAGAGCCGTTCGTCCGTAGAGTGTACGCAGTTAAGTTCAAGTAGATCAAAATCCAAAAGTGTTGAATTACTCAGTGGCGACAGTACACTCCACAGACGGAATTCTGTGGATGAAGACGCTCTGGCCCACCGAGTGCAGCTCAACAGAAAAACGACGTCTGTAGATGTGTCCACTAGCACAACAGAAAACGATGACCACAGAAGGAAATTGAGGTCAAACAGTCATAGTAAAAAAAGTATGAGTTCACCCTTACGTAACGACACGAATAAAAGCAGGGTGGTCAGTGCTGTTCCGAAGATGAAGAGTCGTTCAGAGAGGAATCTCGTGGAAAACATTGAAGATCTGGACCGTTCTTCGCCCAGTGGACAGAGCCAGAGCGATCACAGTGAACACGATTCTGATATCCAGAAACACAGTGCCAGAGCCAAATCGCCCGAATCCATTATCCCTCCCAAACCCCGGGCGTTGCGGCCTAACCTCGAGGATCTTTATGCCAAACCCAACCGAAGAAAACGGGAAACAGGAAGTAAACCCGAGTTAGGATCAAAGCCAGACCCCGCGAAGACAAGCACCGTCCAGCAGGCAGTCACATACTACCACTACCCTCGACCAGACCCGTCGCAACCATCCCCTCAGAACCACCTGGCGTCGCACCTGCTCAGCATGGGGCACACCGAACTAGACGACGGCGTTCTGGCACCCCCTGCTGGCTTCGCTGACACCGGGAGTGACTCGGAGGACAGTGATAGTGGCCTCAGTGGCGTGAGTGGAGGACACCAGCGCACGAGCCCCATGCAGCACGCTCACTCCGAGGACAATATTCTAGGCAATGATCCTGAGCAGGTAAGATTCACTCAACGCCTTTTTGTTGTAGGCTTGCATCAATTTCACGAGAGAACAGTTGCTTCGGAAATTAATGTCTATGTATATTTGTTTATTATTGGACCACTATTTGAGTGTCTACACGCAGTATTTTATGACTATATTGGTACAACCAGTATTGTAATTAGTCATGCTGTTCATGTCTCCGTTGTTATTATCATTATTATTAGTTATCATAATCATCACCGTTATCACAATATGTATTATTGTTCTTATTATCATTATCATTATTGTTATTATTATTATCATCATCATCACCATCATTAGTAGTATTAGGAGTAGTTATGATTATTTTTAACATTATTATTATTGTTGCTGTTAGTAGTAGTAGTATCACTGTTAAATAGGTAAAATTATTATTGTGCGCCATCATGTTTTTTTTAATAATTCTATTTTTATTACTATTATTATTATTATTATTATTATTATTATTATTATTATTATTATTATTATTGACATTGCTATTATTACTATTATTGCTAGAAGTATTATCATTATTATTATCATTGCTATAATCATTACAGTTATCATTTTCATTCCTATTGTTAATTATTAGCAGTATAATTATTATTATTACCGGAATATTTCTTAATATTCTAATTATAGTATTATTTATGTTGACATTAAGATCATAATTTTAGCAATATCACTGCGGTTGCTGTAATAATTATCGCTGTACTAAATATTATTTCTTATTATCCTTATTGCAATCATCACAGATTTTATTATCGTCATTTTTTGTTTTTTTAATATTCTACTGCTATTACTCCACTTGTTATTATAATGATGATCATCATTATCATTACAATTTCTAGAAAAGTAATTAGATTATTTTAATCTAGAATTGTGGGTAGGTAGTTGATGTTGCTGAAGTGCACGTACGTTTCCAGATTTAGAAGAGAAAAATACTTACTAATTTATGAAGATGTCATAAATTTTCATATTCATCCGTTTACTATTTTACCAGGTTACGGAGGAGCAGTTTCGCAGCTGGGAGTATCTTCTAGCCCGCAACGCAAAGCTCCTCTTCATGCGTGAACTGGACACCTTGACCCGCTCGAATTCACGCTGCAGTCCACTCCCAACCGCGTCCGCTCCCGACCTGGTCACGGCCACGACTACGGAACCCGACGCAACTACTCACTTCCAACGCAACCCGATCCGCAAATCCCGCTTGGGTAGAGGAACCTTCCGTCTTATCCAGAGCAAATTGAGTGCCACGACAAGTAAATTTAGCACCTTACAACGATTTAAAAGTAACGCTTCTAAAAACGAGAGTAATTTCCGCCGATTTGGGAGCTTACAGAATTTGAAGTACTATCAACAGAACCGTCCAAGGCCATCTCATTACCCGTTAGTTCAACCCGACCTGGCGACAGAAATGCAAGAGCGACCGGCTTTGGATTCACTCGAGTTGGAGACCCGTATGCATCACTACTGGCACACGGGTGTCACGAATTTCTAAGTTCAGGAACTTCCAACGTGAGTAAAAATAAAAATAAGAACAATTAAAGGCATTTTAAAGCTAAATCACAATGAACCAAATAGAACTGCAGTAGGTTTTTTGTAGCCAGGGTTTTCGTCATGAATGTGAACATTGGTATTGATACCACTTGTATATCTCCACAATAAAGCAATGACTTATCCATGAGACGCTTCAGTTTTCCTGTAACATTACTTAATTTTATCAAGGTAGTTCGTGTCTCTCTTGATACAATTATTTTCCTTGGAATTTTTTTTTCTCTTCGAAAAGAAATTTGGAGTTTTAAAACAATTTTATGGTCTAAAACACTAAGAGATGTAGTTTAAAAGTTGGGGAAAACTAACTAAAAACAAATACTAAAAAAAAAAATTAGAATCAAAATTTTAGACTGTATTTGAAAAACTTTCAGGCTATAGGACTCAAGAGACGGCTGAAAGATAAGGTTTTACATATTAAAGATAAAATAAACTAAGGATGGTTATAAGGATATTTTATTAAGCTTCATAGGTATATACCTAAGTAGGTATATGCTGTGAAAAATGTTTTAACATGCAGCTATGCTTAACAGAAAATGTATGATAGATGGTATACTACATAGCATGTAGAGAGAGATAGAAGGGGAAATAGGACACAAAATTGGTGTTAAATTTGGAAGATATGAAATGCAGAAGAAATTCTAAAATGTAAGGAAAGACACATTTCTACTTTTAAAGTTGACAGTTAAATAATTAATTGGACAAAGCTTCTAAGCAATTAAAGGAAACATGTATGATTTCACCAATTAACTGTATGAATATCAGAGCTTGTATAAAGTATATTGCTTTGAAAACCTCATGAGTCTTATATAAATTTTAATTTAATATAATAATAATACTGCATAAGGAAATGTAAAAAAAAAGTGCAACAAATTTCACTCATTAAAATTTCTTATTCTATATTTCATCTGAACTTTAGCAAAATATATTATCTTTTTCATCTTTAACTTTTCATCTAAAGCTGCAAATATAATAAGAACTACAGATTTACTGTCCAATCTCTTCACCTATACAATAAAATTTAATCCTTTTGCAGTTTCCTTAAAAGTCATATTGTTGATTTTGCCTAGTTTTCATAATCCCATTTAAATGCCTAAAATTACTTTGACATTCAGTATACCTGTCCATTTGCAACATTTATTTTTTTTCTTAAACATACAGATATTAATTCCTTGGCATCATAAAAAATACCAAACTTTTACGGCAATATGAGAAATGCAATGACAGCCTGGCAGTGTACGAGTACTTCACCTAACAATTTCTTCCGGTAGTAAATCAAGAAGCCCAGGCATAAGAGGGATACTTCAAGAATCAATGCAACAGAGCAGCAAATTTTTCAAGCTCAATTAAAGAACATAATAGCTGTTACATTGTATATGAGGTATACCTGGAAGAATACTTATTTCTTCATTTATATTTGTGCCTCCTCTTCTACATACCATTTAAACATTATATAATTTGGCATATTCCACTTGGAAAAAAAATCAAAAACACCATTTTTCCTATGAATGATAAACTCTTCTTCACCAAACACAAATAAATATCAATATATTCTTTGGGAATCATCAGTGATCTCCATTTTTACTGCAAACTAGACAAAGATTAGATAAGTGAGAGTAAGAACAAGGAAAAGACAAGAATCATGTATGAATCTGGGAATGCAGTAAAAAGGGAATGAATGCTGTCTGTGAGTAATTGTGAGTATCATTTTATTTAATTGTACTATTTCAAGAAAATAACATACATCAAACTTGCAAGGAGGAATATAAATATATGCTTTACTTAACTAAACCTTAAGAGATGCAGAGTAAAACAACCTGATAAAACATGACAGAAATGTAATATTAAGAGTGGTCAACTATGACCACTTTTTCATCAACTGGATTATGGTCAATATTACAATACAAAGAATTGCTTAAGGTGATTTCAAAGGCATCTCTTGACACTTATTAACAAAAACAACAAAAAATCTTTAGCAAATCACATGCATGCATACATCACACAATACTCATATTTCACATCTCAAATACAATTACAATATCGTAATCTCTATTGCATCTTTTTAAAGCAAAAATATTCATTACCAACTGCTTCAGTAAATTGTGTTAAAGCCTTCTCTAACAATTTCTGAGAGTACAGACCTGAAATTCTAATACATTCATGTATCAAAACAATAATTTCAAATGTTTTTCTTGACAGTTACAATTCTCACAATAATGTGGTTGCTCATTAAATATATCCCTGGATTTCACTAAAGAAATTCACCTCACTGAGTGTTAAATGCCAAGATCAAAATAATATTGGTATTATTACACACAAAATCTGAATTTTCATCATCGCCTTTGTCCCTTTGCATATATTTGGTACATCTATCGATCATTTCATATATACAAGTGTCTAGTTAAATTTCAAATATAATACATCTCTTCTTTCAATAACACAATCTAAAAGATTTTTTTTCTCTTTTAATAGCATTACATATTTTAAATATCAAATGGGAGGACTTCCCATTTATGGCTGTTTATATCATCAATTATAACAACAATCATAAAAACAAACAAACAAAATTTTGATATAATACAATCTAAGCAAATATCTCTACTAGAATCTGAGCAATACCTCAAAAAATGTAGACAAAGCAGATTCATGATGCACAAAAATACCTAAATAACAAATAAAATATATAGTCATTTAAAAAATGATCAGAGTTCTACATCTAGGATGCAGTTCCTTAAACATAATGGCATGAAAAACATTCCTTTTCATTCCATAATTATCAAAGTTGTATCTTTATTCCTATGAGGCACTGCCCACTTTATATACACTATTCTATCAATCATTTTAATTCCCTCACAACCAAACTTCTCATACTTATTTCTATTTTACTTAAATGCAAATAAAGAATGTAGTATCAATCAAACATGGATAATCTGTTAAACAAAATCAATGCTAAGTAGCACCTTCATTCAATTAACAATTTCAACTTATCTAAATCTAACCTTACATCAGTGTCATATTTGCACACAACACACAAGAATATGCATAAACAAGAGTTCATTGTGACAAATGCAGAAAATGTATAAATGACAATAAAAAACTTCACACTTCTGAGTTATATATTCAAGTACATACACACCCTAGTTTTGTGAAGCTGTTCACTCTCATTCATACATTTTCTACAAGAGTATGCATCAGATATTTGTTTTAAGTTTATTGTATTCTAAAATAATAATGAGAGCTCAGTCCAGTACAACATACTAATGACAGCTTTATATTCATTCATCTCTGCTTAGCTTTTCCTTGGAGCCAAATATCCTGAAAATCAACAATCAATACAGAAATCAATCACAATGAATCCTCTTTTTCCAAAACTTTTCAGCCACACTTTCCAGTCTTCCTATCTTTATTCATCCATTCACTGTATATCTTTTGTAAGAAATAATCTATTTTCGACCAGAGTTTATACTAATTATGATCCTCACTAAAATTCTCTCAAATTCCTCATTTATTACTGATTTTCTATTTCTTTGTAATACAAAAAATAATGCCTTTTTCTATGCAGTGTAAGATTGCTGGATACACATTCACTTAGTACATGTGTGATCCCTTTAACATCATATCTAAATCAGGACTATATATCTATGGAAATTACTGAAAATGTCAATGCAAAAAGGTGAAAATACAAATGTGAATGGGCAAAGTAATTCTAACAGTTTTCTTGACTTATTGCACTTACATTCAACACAGCCTTTCCAGTTTCTTACAAGATTTACAACATCAAAAAGTACTACAAAATAATACTGCAACTGTGAGTGAGAAGTTAAATCAGTGTACTTTACAAAGAGAGGATAAACCTTGCTAACATTAAGAAGAGTCAGTGGCTAATATTGTGTATCAGGATGAACTAAACTCTTAATTACAAGATAATGTGCTCTGCATTACACTCACCACCACCCAATCAAACCCCATGTCACCAAACTAACGTAATATTAAAACCTAATCCGAAAAATTCATCATCTGAAGCACCAACCCAGTAAATAATACCAAACTCAATAAATATGCTCATTCACTTTCATTGAAGTTAAAAGATTATCCTCACCTGCCGTTACGTTGTTAAAATGGAAGTTAACATTTAAATTAGTTAATTAGGACAATAAAGATTACATCTTGCCAAAATGAGCTGCCATTACTATCTTTTATGACTGAAAATATATGGAAATTTTACATTCAATGCTACATGCCTGTATCTCTATTGGACGGTAATAATGTTCAGCAGAAAAGCGGCATTGCTTGACCAGGTTCTCTACAGCTGAATGTGGCTTGTAGTCACCAAAATGTAAAGCAAGTGTTTAATCCAGTTTGTATTTTGACTAGGAACTACTGGTCAGAAACTCTAAGCTCTATTGAATATTCAGATCTTTCCAATTCTCATTCATCTTTCTAGCCTATTTTTATCACATGTGGCCACATATGTATGACTGATGAATACAAGTGGATATACAGATATTTGTAAATGTGCACCTGTGACTCTATAGCAGTTTGTTGGTTTGGAGAGGAGATGAGTGAGAGCAAGAGATGGGAGGGATGGAGAGGGAAGAAGGGGAGGGGAGGTAAAGGAGGGGAAGAAATGGAGAATGGGCATCAGGGGAGGGCAAAGGGATGGGAGGATTAGGGAATAACAGCAAAAGAAGAAGAGAGCGAAGGAGAGGGAGTGGGAGGAGAGGGAGAGGGAGAGGGAGAGGGAGAGGGAGAGGGAGAGGGGGAGGGGGAGGGAGAGGGAGAGGGAGAGGGAGAGGGAGAGGGGGAGGGGGAGGGGGAGGGGAGGGGGAGGGGGAGGGGGAGGGGGAGGGAGAGAGGGAGAGGGGGAGAGGGGGAGAAGGGGAGAAGGGGAGAAGGGGAGAGGGAGAGAGGGAAGAGGGAGGAGAGGGAGAGGGAAGAGGGAGGAGAGGGAAGATGGAAGAAGGTGGAGAGGGAAGAGGGAGGAGAGGGAGAGGGAGAAGGAGAGGGAGAGGGAGAGGGAGAGGAGGAGGAAGAGGAAGAGGAAGAGGAAGAGGAAGAGGGAGAAGGAGAGGGAGAGGGGAAGATAGTGTGACTTTACACATGTATTCTAAATAAGTGTGAAATTCCAAAAGCAGAGGCAAAAATGCTAGGAAGAGTAACTGGACATTTCAAACTACTGCTATCTAAAGTTCACAAAATTTTGTTAATGTTAATTCAGAAAATCATTTATCCCAAAGAAAATCTATGAAAATCTATTCCTAATTAGAATTTTCAACTTTGTTAGGAAAATAGACCATATTCTTTTTCAGAGAATAACAAGAAATTTAAACATCCTCGTTCTAAAATCTTTGGCATGGTATGGAGTAAAAATAAAAAATAAAAAAAAACAGAATGGGAAATAACAAGCATAAACAGCATGTTGTTACTGAGTCTGGACTGTTGCAGGGCAGGAGGTAAACGAATACGCTGGAAGCTGGTTATACACCCAATGATCAGGGGTTGGAGAATGGAACAGTCGTGTTGGGAATGGCAGGTTTTGGGCAGCACGTTCTCGTTCTTCCTTCCGTTGCTGCTCTTCTAGGGCTCTCTTGTGGCTTGTGGCTGTTTCCACGTCCCCACGAGCAAGTGCTACACTCACATCATGCCACAGACGCCGAGATTCCATTGGAGATTGCTGTGCCAAAGGCTTTAAGCGTTTGTGACAAATAATTGGTATTTCATTAACATCCACAATCTGAAAATTCAAGAAGGTTTTTTTAAAGTCTCTACTGAGAGAAAGTATGAAGCACTTTCTTTTTACTTCTCCTCACCATAAATTATGGTGAAATCTGATATTCAAATCATTAGTACTGGTTTGGACTAATTTGAAATAGTGAACGTACTGTATAGCATTAAAACTAAATTTGTAAAAACAAAAAATTACTTTTTTATTTCAAAGACCACAACCAGAGAAAAATACTGAAGACACATCAGAATATTCTAGCCATCTGCTATTAACTACAAATACACAGTGAGCCAAAAGAAATCTATATGATACCTCCTGAGATCCATTAGCATAAGTGAATTCCAACTGTGAATCCCATTCTCCCTGCACTTTTGACAGAGTTGTTCCAGCAGCATTTTTCACTTCAGCTGTCACCCGGTGTAGACGTCCTCCATAAAATGGCTGAAAGATATGATAAAAATAGATAAATATATATATAAATCTTAATCTTAATCTATACACTATATATAATATAATAAGATCAACAATAAGTGACATCAAAACTTACTTTAGTGTGGAAGACAATAGCAGCCTGACAGCCCGTCTCAGGAGAAGAAATGTTTACTCGGCCTCCAAGTTCAACCCATGGATCAGTCAATATGCTTCTAGCATATGCAGATGGCATGGCAAGACTATAACTTTCACGGACATTGCCTATGATGAGGGTAATGTCTCCAATCAGATTAACTCCAACAGACATACCCATAAACTTCGACTTTGTCCAGATATGAGCATTTATACTCAGCTGCTTCTCTGGACACTCAAAAAAGAAAGCGGATACTGAAAACAGAGAAAAGGAATTAATATTACCCGAACACAAACAAACTAATTTCAAACCTACTACTGTGTATCTGAATCATCAACAAAACAAACAACATACCTGGTGGATGATGAGACACTTGCTCAGCTGCATATTTGATGTTGACAAAGGGGGCCCTCTTTCCATCAGCAGCTTTCCCATTCTCCCCTGTCTCCTTTGGAAAATAACAAAGATAATACAGTATCTTAACAAAAAATATTCCCACAACAGCAACCAGTAAAACAAATTCTTCCCTAAACAGGATACAGCCTGTTCAATCAAAACTTGAATAAAAGCAGTACTATATTTCCTCTATAAATTCCTGTACATTGTTGTTCTAATATCTTTAACAAGAAGCTGAAACTATCAATCCCACAACAGAAAATTACCCCTTCACATTTCACATAGTACCATGCTACTGAAAAACAAATTGATTACACTGTGATAAGTTTACTTGCAGACATTAGAGAGAAATTTACTTTAAAGTTCATATAATATAGCCAAAGATAATAAATGTAAAGATATGCAAAGAAATTATTGCAAATATCAAAATGAACAGGTTTACTGGACAGTTTCTGCATGGTGTGCGTAAATTTCTCCCCTAACTAGAACACTTACTTCCCCATGGATGGAATCCCTTGGAATTCGCCAGTTACAATGGAATGTCTCCCCAATAATGGGATTGTAAGGCTTCTTAGCAACAGATCCATTTCGTCCAACATGAATGCTTGTTAAATACCATTTAACCACTGCCTGCATGCGATCTTCTGGTGTTGTTGCATCAGCAATTCTGAAAGTACATACAAGTATTATTAAAAAGTTCATTAACAGGTAAAAATAAATTTTATGCTTTAGCAAATATCCTTTCCATTGTAATAAACCCAAATAATTATCCCATTTATGTTCCAACTACAGATGTAAATCCTCAATAAAAATATATACATTAACCCTATTAATCAACTGGTTCAGAAATATGTGCTTATTACTTGGCAAAATAGTCAGGATGTCCCAAAAAGTCTGCAAACATTTCCAGCAGGGAACGACGCTCCAAAATGAATGTTGGTAATGTGACACGTGTGAGGTCCATTCCAAGTCGCAGTTGAGATATGATGTGCATGATGACAGACCTTTGTCCATCACCAACTTCACCAAGGTCACCATCACCACCTGCTTCGTCATCATCACTCACTTCAGAGTCATACCCACTAACACCTGTAAACACGTTTTTTTTTATGTCAAAACAAAATTTTGAAAAAAGGCCCATCAATTCCAAAACAATAACTTGTCCACAAAAATATCTGAATACCCAAGTTTTAGCTTCTAAAATTGTACGTCTCCAAGTCAAGTCCTGACTTACATCTACTTAAACTCCATCACTTTAATCAACATTTCTACAGAAACAAAGATTCATATAATCTAACACCAATCAAATCTAAGCTACTACTCTGTGACTTACCAATGCGTGAGGAATGTGGTGGTGGGGTTGGAGTAGAAACTGGAGTCTCAGATGCAAGTGATGAAGACTTGGAACTTGTTGTCCCTGCTACATCAGGTAAACAATGGCTAGCTGCAACAGGTGCTGGAGAGGAAGGAACTAATGGCTGGACAGCACTGCTACTTGGAGGAGTTCCACTAATTCCCTGGGTTGTTCCTGGGGTCGGAGAATGTGGTGCTGTGCGGATCCTCAAAGAAGGAGATGATGATCGCAATGAAGGTGACCCTAGGCGTGTGCTGAAAGTAGTAAGATTTGTTTATAACACTTGCTGATTATTATAAGTAGACCACAATGATAATAAAAAAAAAAAAAAAATTGCTAGGAAGTACCTTATTCATACTTACTTTTAAAACCTAAAAATGTTTCATGTCATTATTTCTCTGCTTGCTTGACTCCTACAGTTCCATTTTTAAAAAATCATAAGATTCTATGGAAGTGTCTAAACATAATGATTTCTTTACCAGAGATAACTAAAACATTCATTACATAGAAAAGAGTTGATGTATCAATACATGTACTAGGTACTTGGTGCTCAAAAAATTATTTCTAATATGCACAAAAAAGACTACATAGGCAAATGCTACATTTCATTCTATTCTAAGATATTCTACAAAAAATGTTACATTCTAGCTATCACTACAGAAGAATAAAAAGACAAGCTTTTACAACCATCTCAAGTGATATATGTTGCAGGTACTGTCTCAACCTTTCTTTTTATCAAATTAAATAATACTTAATAAGATCCATACAAAAAATAAATATCTAATAAATCAAAATAAAATGTGATTATATTCTTACCACAAACAAAAGACAACACTTGCTTTCTCAGAAGCTTTTGCGTTTAACCTCCATGCACAGACTAAAGGTATAATTCCAAACCCATCATCAAATTTTTAATGCCTATCTAAATACATTACACTCATAGTTACATTTTCATTTTTGGTGTTCAGTACCACTTCTCAAGCTTATGAACATCCAAAAACTTACATATATATAAATATTTACAAAAAAGGGATACATTTAATTTGGTGCTTACAATAAACTCACATCTGATATACTGTACATGTTTCATCATACTGCTACTCCAGTAATAATTTCACAGGAAAACCAACTAAGAGGTGAACCGCAAGCAAAATAAAAAAGATGGTAAGAGTCACAACAATGCCATCTACATAAGCATTGTGTGTTATGTTTGAAGATCGATGGCAAGGGGGTGGTGTGTGCATCATGCTGTGTGTACGTACGGAGTGGGAGACGAACGCCGCCGTTGAAGTGAGGCAGAAGAGGCATCTGAAGCTGTGCGCCGGTGGAAGCGTGGGGAGCGTCCCAGAAGGGGGGAGCAGCGTGGTGAACACCGACCGCTCAAGCTCCCAAAGCTCCCCACCCTGTCCACACACACAGACCCCAGGAGAGGACACACCACCAGCAGTAGCACCACCACACCAAAGGCAGCCCAACACAGGC